CCTGTTACTCCCCTCCCGGCCAGGAAAAGAACTTGGGGACCCTGATGCAGATCTTTGGCCAATCTAGTCCTTCAGCCTCTTCAGCTCCGTCCACAGCTCCTTTCCGTGGCAGCAAAGAGCCCGTCAGCAAGCTCGTAAGCTTGAATTTGCCTCCCCTGTCCACACGCGACCAAGTTTTAGAGCTGGGAGAATCAACGCTTGGGTACGGGGACGTTGCAGAGACAAGTCAGGACAAACCCAGCCTGCGCTGGTTGAGCTCCAGCACCCGCCCGCTCTGCCCCACAGCCCTGGGAACAGGCGTGGGGCTGGGCACAGCCCGGCCCCAGCCCCTTGGGAGCAGAAGGAATCGAAGCTCGGGGCAGCAGAGCCAGGGGCGCACACCCAAGAGCTTTTAGCAACTGTAGGAAACAGCTCTCCAGCAAACTTTCTGAGGAGTCCAAACACACCGTGTTTGTTCTGCTGATAGAACACCTCTGACGAACGTGTAATCACGAGACATTTAGCAATCGGAGCATGCTATGTAAATACAACATAATTTATTGGTTCCATTTCAAAGAACTATAGTGGTATTTGTACGAGTGTCCTAATGATAGTACAAGAAACGAGAGTCACGTATGTACACAGATTCCAGGACACAGAAAAACTTTGTAAGGAAGAAGTGGTTAGTGGTACAGTTTGGTCACTGTTCATAGAAATCTTTTCTCTTACTGTAAACCCTGCTCCCCCACTCCCCTCAAATCCTAGGTAGACCTACCTACCTACCTCGGGGGCATCGCAAAGCTCTCGGCACGCAGCAGAGTTGCTTGTGCAAGCAGCAGGCAAGGCTAGCGGTCTCTGGCTGCACACCAGACTCTGGTTACGAGTGTGTGCAGCTGAGCGGGACGTGCTGCTCGGGAAGAGGGAGAAGGCTCCGTACCCTAATGGGAAGCAGAAAACGGTCCACACGCAGCCATTGAGGCCCGAGGGCAAGCGGCCTGGTTCCTTCTCGGCAGGGTCAGCGTACCACAAAGAGACAGGGAAGTACAGGTGTTTGAGAAGACTTCCCCACGTCTATCCCAGTGCCTCCCCTCTGCTCGTTCCCATGAAGCAGAGGTCTGCTTGGCCTAATGCTGCTGGTGCGAATCCCCGTCCCCCGTGGGGACAGCGCACCCGGCTGGGCTGCGCACGGGGAGGAACTCGGCTCAGAGCTGGTAAAGAGGCAAGAGCCGATTCACAACCGCAGCGCTCCGGCACAGACTCCGTCAGCAATGGCTGCACCGGTGTAGCTGTCAAAGAACTCAAGTCCAACTTCTTTCAGAGGGAACGCAAGGAGGGCCAAGCCTCGGGGACAGGATGCCAAGTGGAGGGTGAGCACAAAAACAGCTCTGTCCAAAAACCGGACTCACAGCCAGCGGAAGAGGTGCTGGAACCAAACAGCACCCCGGGGGATCCACGCAAACCAGCGTTTCCTCCCCAGTCCCCACGCAATCTCCCTTCACGGGTGGGAAATGGGTGTCTGGAGGGAAGTACCGCTTCCATGGCAGCACCAGCTACACAACGTGGCTCTATCTGAAGCATCTGGCTCGGCTGGCTTGGTGCCGCTGCAGTGAGGGGAGGGGAAGAAGCAGTATGGGGTGGCTCTTCCCTCCTCAAAGAGTAAGCATTTCCACCAACTGGCCCAAAATATTTTCTTTTTTTTTTTTATAGAAATTACTATAAAAAACTAGTTTATCTAGAGCATCTTCACCAGCTACACAACGTGGCTCTATCTGAAGCATCTGGCTCGGCTGGCTTGGTGCCGCTGCAGTGAGGGGAGGGGAAGAAGCAGTATGGGGTGGCTCTTCCCTCCTCAAAGAGTAAGCATTTCCACCAACTGGCCCAAAATATTTTCTTTTTTTTTTTTATAGAAATTACTATAAAAAACTAGTTTATCTAGAGCATCTTTAAAAAAATATTCCTGCAATATCACAGTTTTACATTGAAACTCATTAAAAATATATAGATTTCTTTAACAAAACGTCTCTGTTCTCCCCTTGAATCACACCTCCAATGCAGGAGTGGGACTCGGAGTCCTCGGAATCCGCCGAGGTGGGAGCAGGAAGGTCTGATCTCAGTGGCACATCCGGGAGGTCATTTCCTTCTGTCAAAGGCACAGACAAGACAAGGGACCATGAATGAAGATCCAAATTGCCAGGTGAGGGTGCGGACGAAAAAACCCTCACCTTTGTTTAGTGGTAAATACCCATCTCAGGCGCGCGGTGACACTGTTACTAAGAGCTCCAGTTTGGGCAGGTCTGTGCTCCCCCCACCACTCCTGTTCCCAGGCACGGGCAGGACATCCTTCCACTGCCCAACCGCTCTGCAGGTCTGCTCTGTGCTTACGACTTTAGAAACACCGTCACCACCTCCCGGGTCTGGGTCCACCCTCCAGACTCCTCGTGAAGGTGGTGGTGTCCTCGCTTTTCAGCATGGAAAGCGAGCACATGGTTTTAGCCATCCACATCCCGGACGGGTAACAGCGCTGGGCTGACACAGCGCACACAAACGAGGCAAGCCAGCTGCTAGAAACGCAAGGAGGTTGCTGGAAAACAAGTCAACTTCCCCCGACCGATGCCCAAATGGCCCTGGCTCAGCTGTGCCTGCACATCCTGACTCCCAGCATCCCGACAGTCAAACTGCAAGGCCAACCGATGTCCTGAATTTGGGCAACCAGTTTTGAGAAGGTACCAGAGACCTCTGGGACTCCTCCACCCCCAGCCCACCCCTTCTGTGCTGGCTGCAGACCCTGACAGACCAACGCGTACCCTAAGCCCACCCAGACACTCACCAGTGGTTCCAGCTCCTTGGTGTCTATGAGATTGAACTCTTTCACAAAGTAGTAAAAGTGCTTGTAGCAGGTGTTGACGTGGGCTTCCGACCCCATCTGGGTGATCCTGTCGAAATGGTGGATGTAGACATGGACAAAGACCCGGAAGAGCCTGGAGAGAATCTTCTTCACCACTGGGAGGAAGTTCTTGGGGAAGGGAGTACCTGGGAGGGATGACACAACCATGAGAAACCTTCAGCAAAGTTAAAACTGGTTCCTTGGGGCTAAAATAAATCGATAAAACAGATAAATTGAGAGAAAAGGGCTTCTGTCCCAGGTAATTTCCAGTTCCCCTCTCTTTTTCCCTTTCTGTTCAGACCAGATTTTTTCAAAGCACGGATTTCTTAAGTGCAAGTGCTGCACGCCATTGATCGCTGCCAGCGAATGAAAGCAAGCGACCAGCCTCAGAGATTCCCAGCAGCTGTTTCAGCCTAATAGAGTTTTCTTCTATTCCTATTTGGCGTGTTTACATAAACAGTGCAAAATACCAGATACAACCAAGCAACTTCCCAAAAGAAAGAGTCGGTGCTGTTAACTCCCTACAGTTATCTCTTATTTTGCTATGTCTTCAGCTCTTTGGTTAAAAATTAAAGACGTTAAGGTCCTCTTTAAAGGCATCAGTTCTTTGGGATTTGTTTAGCCAGGGTCCTGCAGCAGAGCGGTCTGGACAACCAGCCATCTCTGTAGAATATTACAGTTTAAAGTTCACACAGGTCGTTTCTGGAGGAACGAGGATTAGTTAAACCCTTTCAGTGCTCTGCAAGGACTGCAGCATTTCAGTTGGCATTAAGGGCGAGGAATCTGGTAAAAGCCGAGCTGAAAACAACAATAACAATAAATAAATAAAACCCCACAACCCTCCTGCTGTCGGAAACTTGTTTCGCCTCCCCGGCCAGAACAAAGACCCTGCTTATAGTCCCCAGAGAACCTTGCAGAAGAGTCCTAGCTAAAGGCAACACAGCAGCCATTCGGGCGACAGGAGGAACGGGCAGGGAGGATTTCAGTGTTTCAGCTCTCTGAAGAGCCGCCCGTTTACGGCCCTGCTCCCCGCTCTGCCTGCTCACACCAGGTTTAGGCAGCGTTTTGGCACAGGCGGAGGAGCCCTGCGGATGCTCGTATGGCAGAGGCGGCAGACGTGTCCCAAACAGGGGCCAACCGCGTCCCAACAGAGCTTCAACAGGATAAATGCCAGGGCAGGAGGGAGGGAGCTCTGCTGCATCTTGTCTTCTGCGTCCCAGAAGATGGGAGCTCTGAATGGGATCAGTCATATTTACCTAATGCTTTAGATACTGAATTCTCACATCTCCTTCAGCACAAAATAAACAGAAAACCCAGCATCTTTGTCCCAAAGCCAGTACACGAAGCTGCGTTTGGATATGCAGATTTAGGTGTCTTAGGCCAAATTCTCATTGCCATCACCCTGGCAACAGATGAAACGCCGCCCCTCCCTCCATGCACATGTCAGCATCCCACCCAGCTGCAACGAAGAGCCGAGTGCACGCCAGGAAGCACTGAGCTAGAAAGGGCAGAGTCAGCTAACGCCAGCCTGTAATAACAAAGAGGCTAATTATGGAAGCGTGGCCACCATCACCAGGCCGACGCAGAGCACGCATGTTGAACCCAAGCTAGCAATCAGCTCTAAAAGAGCTGTCCTTCAGGAGAACATGTCCCGCATGAGCTACTCGAGAGTCATGTCGGAGACTGACTTTTTCCAAGAGCAGCCTCTTGTTCTTGCTGCCTAGGCTCAGCTTGGCTTTCTACAAGGTATCCGTGACTCCAAATGGGATCTGGAACTGCTCTGGGTATTTTAGCACTCCAGAAGAGCTCTGAAGTTTCTCCGGTGCTCGGAAGAGCTTACTACACTGCCAAACAAAAGGAAATAGCTCTGCTACAAGGGTGACCCGTGCAACAGCATCTCCTGGAACAGAAACGGGACTCGAGGGCTCAACGGAGAAGGTTGTGCACCAGCCTCCCTCCCCCCAGCCGCAACTGGAACTGAACTCACCAACATTAGTGGGAAAGATGTCCTCGTTGTTGATCTGTACCTCAATCCAGTCCATCAGGAGGTTCATGTACTGGGGAGCAGACAGGGCCGTGGGTTTTCGGTACTTGTGCTCATCCTGCCATCGGTACTCATACTTGGGTCCCCCCGACATGACAGGGCAGGACTGCTCAGTGCAATAGTCACTGATGGTGCCGTAGATCAGGTTGATGCGGTTGAAGAAGTCCACCACGTGCACAGCCACCCAGTCATTCTGCTCCTCTCCCGGCGGCAGCTGGACGGCAACTTTCAAGTCCAGACCGGCATTGAGCGAGGCTTGAGCCTTCTTGTGCAGCTCAAACCGCTGAGTCCCCGGCTCAAACTTGCGCTTGGGTCGGAAGGTTTTGTCTTTATTGAACACTTGCTTTAAAGCATGGGACATTTTTCTTCTCTTCTTCTTTCTTTTCCAGGTCCGTAGCGATGACAGCCGGAGACACAACGCTGCTGGGCCACTTCCCGGGGCAGGGCTGAGGCGACTCTGATCTTCACAGAAACCTCCCTCTGCTCATCTGGTCCTGATCTGCAAGGCAGCACAGAAGGGCAGCGATTAGGAGCAGCTCTCTCAACAGGAAACCCAGTCTAAATCCCATAGGAAGAGATCTGGGATACCATCTGGGCCCTTGCCCCAGATCTGAGAAGGGGGGGAAGCCAACGCCAGCTTTCGTTCCTCCCCCTTCTCCTAACAGCCCAGCTTGCAGCAGAGCGGCGCTGAGCAGGTCTGAAGGAAGTCACCCCCGCAAGGTCTCCCTTGCTCAACGTGGGGATGAAGGAACCAGCCCCACAGGGAAGAGACGAAACGGGAGGCATCAAGGCGTAGTCCCCCCGTGTCCCCCAGCGCAGCCTCGGCAGGAGATGGCTGCCATTCACCCCGACATCATCACACCGAGACACCCAAACCCCACAGAACCGAGGAGAAACTCCACCACCTATTCAGCTCCAATACACCAAATATTTAAGAAGGGTAAAACAAGTTGGGTTTTACCTGGGTCAGATTTTTCACCTACGCTCCCTCCCCCTCTTTGGAAACAAGCCTTCTGAAAAGGTAAGGTTACCACAACCTACAATAAAGTGCGGATCTGTTGCCAAACGTACTCCAACGAAACAGCCATTTGAGCAGGAGCTGTGTGTGGTGTCGTAGCAAAGACAGGACATGAAAGGGCGGAGGGGAACAAGAAGAAGAAGAAGAAGAAGAAGTAGTCGCAGCTAAGGCACCCGGAAAGAGAGTATCCTGAAATAACACCAGCTCTGAGAGCAGCCACAGCCTCTTCTGCAGGTGCAGACAGACCATAAACATATTTTTCATTTCAGTTTAGCTCGCTTCAAGTCGAGGGGTGGTTGAAAGTTGGAAGACCAGGGAAAGCTCGCCTTCCTCCTCTTCCAGTCTGTGGAAAAGAATTAGCTCCAACAGGGTGAGACACAAGTTAAGATCTGAAAGGATGCTGACGAGAAACACAGCTCTGTTTATCTGTAGCTAATTATACCTCCTTTGTTCCCACATCCATCCCCTCGTATAATTTGTGTCAAGCTGCTCTTTGATGGAAGCTCAAGGCAGAAAGCTGTGTGTACCAAAAATATTATTTTACATGTGCTGGACAGAGAAATAAAGTAACAGAAATTAACTAAAGCTGATGCCTTACTGAATCTGGCAACTAAGAGTTTCCGTAATTGTATAAGAAAGCAAGCAAACAAATCCCTTTCACCAAGCAGAAATCTACTTAGGTTTATATTAAGCCATAGTGTTGTTTAAATAGGTAAATAGTATTCTCAAACATTGGCAACAAAATCTCAAATTCAAGGTCAAGACTACCTTTGCCACAATTCAGCCCATCTCTAACAGATGCTGCATAGTGCTAATCAGCATTTCTCCTCTGGAGAAAGATTAAAAAGATTTAAACCAAGGCCTCTTGTTTTCTTATTTAATTACAGCAAAGAAGAAAACCCAAACCACTTCAGTTCGTTCCGCTAAGAACAGGCTCGACATTTCCTAGCGCTGCTTTTCCTGCAGGAACAGGCTCAGTAACCTCTTCTGTGCAGGAGCAGAGAGATCCAAACTCCTGTTGCAACATGGGCCACGACGCGTGTTGGAAGAAAACGAAAAAGCATTTTAATGTGGTTCAGCGAGATCCACCCTGGGCTAGAAGGTGAATTCAGTGCATGCATGCTTTCACTGCAAACTGATAAAACAGCCGCTGCGACCCCGTATGCTACCGTGTGAGAGTCAAAAAAAAAAAAAAAAAAAAAAAA